AGATACATAATTTGCAAATATTCTCTCATTCTGTGGGTTGTCTTTTAACTTTCTTTTTTTCTGTTTTTTTTTTTTTTTTTGAGACGGAGTTTCGCTCTTGTTACCCAGGCTGGAGTGCAATGGCGCGATGTCGGCTCACCGCAACCTCCGCCTCCTGGGTTCAGGCAATTCTCCTGCCTCAGCCTCCTGAGTAGCTGGGATTACAGGCACGCGCCACCATGCCCAGCTAATTTTTTGTATTTTTAGTAGAGACGGGGTTTCACCATGTTGACCAGGATGGTCTTGATCTCTTGACCTCGTGATCCACCCGCCTCGGCCTCCCAAAGTGCTGGGATTACAGGCGTGAGCCACCGCGCCCGGCCGTCTTTTAACTTTCTTAATGGTGTCTTTTGAAATATGAAAGTCTTAAATTTTGATGAAGTCCAGTTTATCTGTTTTTTATCACTTGTGCACTTGTATCTAAGAAATCATTGCCTTACCCAAGGTCACAAAGATGTACTACTGTCTTTAGTAAAGACAGTTTTCTGTTACTGTAACAGAATACCACAGACTGGGTAAGTTACAAAGAAATTTACTTAGCTCATGATTCTGGAGGCTGAGAAGTCTAAGAACATGGTGCTTGGCATCTTGTTGGGGCCTTCTTGCTGTGTCATAACATGGCAGAGGGCATCACACAGTGAGAGGGCAAGCAAGAACAAACCCACTTTCACAATAGTGAAATTAATCTATGTATGGGGGCAGAGCCTTTATTAATCAATCTGTTCACAGGGCAGAGGGATTAAGTTTCCAACATGTGGTTTTTTAAGGGATACATTCAAACCATAGCAACTACTATGTTTTCTTCTAATAGTTTTATAGTTCTAGCATTATATAGGTCTGTAATCTATTCTGAACTTTTTTTTTTTTTGAGACAAAGTCTTGCTCTGTTGCCTAGGCAAGCATACAGTGGTGTGATCTCCACTCACTGCAACCTCTGTCTCTTGGGTTCAAGAAATTCTTCTGTCTTAGCCTCCTGAGTAGCTGAACTACAGGCATACACCACCACACCCAGCTAAATTTTGTATTTTTAATAGAGATGGGGTTTTGCCATGTTAGTCAGGCTGATCTCCAACTCCTGACCTCAGGTGATCCACGCACCTCAGCCTCCCAAAGTGCTGGGATTATAGGTGTGAGCCACCATGCCCAGCTTTGAACTAATTTTTGTATATGATATGAAGTAGGGGTCTACCTTCATTCTTTTGCATGTGAATATCCAGTTTCCTTAGCACCATTCGTTGAAAAGACAGTTTTTTCCCCATTGAATTGTCTTGGTAGCTGTGTTAGTCTGCTCAGGCTGCCATAACAGAATCCCACAGACTGGGTGGCTTACCCAACATAAACTTACTTTCTCACACTTCTGGAGACTGAAAGTCCAAGATCAAGGTGCTGGCCTGGTTGGTCTCTGGTGAGGGCTGCCTTCCTGACTTCCAATGGATGCCTTCTCTCTAAGCCCTTACATGACCTTTCCTTTATGTACACACACTCCTGGTAACTCTTCCTCTTTTTATAAGGACACCAATCCTGTTGGATTAGGGCCCTACCCTGATGACTTCATTTAACTGTAATTACCTCCTTAAAGGCCCTATCTCTAAATACAGTCACATTGGGAGTTAGGGCTTCAACATATTAATTTTGGGGGAACACAATTCAATGTATAACAGTAAGCTTGTCAAAAATCAATTGACCATAAATATAAGTGTTTATGTTTGCACTTTTAATTCTGTTCCATTCATTTGAATGTCTATCCTTATGTTAATATCACACTATCTTGATTACTATAACACTGTGGTCAGTTTTGAAATTAGTTTATCTTTTACCTGTATGAATTGTTAGCAAAAGCCCACTGGAAATATCAATACTGTGACCATGCTGATTCCATAGGCACACTTAAATAGCTCTTACTTGGTTGGGTTTGGTGGCTCGTACTTGTAATCTCAACACTTCAGGAGGCTGAGGTGGGCAGATCGCTTGAGCCCAGGAGTTCAAGACCAACCTAGGTAACATAGTGAGACCCCATCTCTACAAAAAATGTAAATATTAGCTGGGTGTGGTGGCATGTGCCTATGGTCCTTGGGAGGCTGAGGTAGGAGGATCACTTGAGCCTGGGGAAGTCAAGGTTGTAGTGAGCTGCGATCGTGCCACTGCACTCCAGCCTGGGCAACAGTGAGACCCTATCTAAAAAAAAAAAACAACCTCACGCCTATAATTCCAGCACTTTGGGAGGCCGAGATAGGAGGATCATAAGGTCAAGAGTTCAAGACCAGCTTGACCAACGTGGTGAAACCCCGTCTCTACTAAAAATACAAAAATTAGCTGGGCATAATGGTACACGCCTTTAATCCTAGCTACTCAGGAGGCTGAGGCAGGAGAATTGCCTGAACCTGGGAGGTGCAGGTTGCAGTGAGCCAAGATCGTGCCTCTGAACTCCAGCCTGGGTGACAGAGTGAGACTTTGTCTCAAAAAAAAAAACCAAAAAAAACAGCAACAACCAAAAAGCTCTTGCTGTAGTATTTGAAAACTTTTTATAGCCTACAAGGAAACTTCATGTCAATTGTGTCCTCTGCTCTTCACTGTAACCTTATGAGTATAAGGCACAGTGCAGTGGAGGATGCAAAGGCTGACTAAGGCTGAGTCATTTCCAGAGAGTGATACAGAGCCTTGTGGTTCTCACTGATGGTCTTTTCATTAAGAAATGGCAAGCTGTACTGGTCATACTGGTGAGTCTTCTTAAACGGAGGTACTGATAAGACTTGTTTTGTAAATGTGAAGATATTTTGAAACGGTATTTCTCAAACTTTAGTGTGTTCAAGAATTATCTGGAGAGCTAGTTGAAAACAGATTCCTGGACGACGACCCTAAAGATTCTGATTCAGTATGTCTGGAGTAGGGCCGGAGAATTTCTAACAAGCTCCCAGTTGATGCTCCTGCTGCTGGTTTGTGGCACACACTTTGAATCCCACTGTCTTTCTGGACATGGTGTTGAAAGTTTGCATAATATGCTTCTCAACTCTTTCACCTTCAGAATTTGCTTAGAATACTGAGGAAGCAATTTTCTTGAAATAGTATACTTTTAAAAATTGCTTTCTCACATGACTTTAAAGATTGCAATCCATTCACTCAATCATCTTTTTGTTTTTGTTTTTGTTGTAGAGTGAGTCTCGCTCTATCGCCCAGGTTAGAATGCAGTGGCATGATCTCGGCTCACTGCAACCTTCGATTCCTGGGTCTAAGGGATTCTCCTCCCTCAGCCTCCTGAGTAGGTGGGATTACAGGCTCATGTCACCATGCCTGGCTAATTTTTTTATTTTTAGTAGAGATGGGGTTTCAACCAGCCTCAATCATTTTTTTTTTCAACTTTGATTGAAGGCTTACCAGATGTGTACCTCACCCAGCCTCAATCATTTTTTTTCAACTTTGATTGAATGCTTACCAGATGTGTACCAGATCCAGAGAATACAAAAATGAGTAAGAATTGTCCTTAAAAAATTTTTCTGCATCAGAATTATAAAACTTGGAATTACAGGCTGGGTGCAGTGGCTCATACCTGTAATCTGAGCGCTTTGGGAAGCTGAGGCAGGCGGATCACTTCAGGTCAGGAGTTCGAGGCCAGCCTGGCCAACATGGCAAAACCCTGTCTCTACTAAAAATGGAAAAATTAGCCTGGCATGGCGGTGGGTGCCTATAATCCCAGCTACTCCAGAGGCTGAGACAGGAGAATTGCCTGAACCTGGGAGGCAGAGGATGCAGTGAGCTGAGATTGGGCCATTGCACTCCAGCCTGGGTGACAGAGTAAGATTCCATCTCCAAAAACAAACAAACTTGGATTTACAACGAAGAGAGGGTATATAAAACACTTTGCTATAATTTGAATATGTCCCTCAAGGTTCATATGTTGGAAACTTAAGCCTCAATACAGCAGGGTAGAGAGGTAGGACCTTTAGGAAGTAAATTAGGTCACAAGGGCAGCCCTCATGAATGGATTAATGCCATTGTCTCTGGAATGGGTTCATTATCCTGGGAGTGGATTCCTTATTAAAGGATGACTTGGGTCCCCTTCCCTCTCTTGCCCATGTGATACCTTCCATCTTGTTATGACACAGCAAGAAGGCCTTCATCAGATGTCAGCCCCTTGATCTTGGACTTCTTAGCTTCCATAGTCATAAGCCAGTTTCTGTCTGCTCATTGTCATTATGCAGTCTGTCGTATTCTGTTACAGCAGCACAAAACGAACCAAGACACCTGGTACCTTGGTTTTACCATTTCTTTTCTGCTGTCGCCTTTTCCTTTTGTTGTTTTTGAAGCTGGCTTTACTTCTCATATGCGTTTACAAACAGTTACAACTTCAGGTAGTTCAGAAATAAGCTTTTTTTTTTTTTTTAACCTCTCCAAGCATCTCTGACCAGTGTGAATAGCAGGATCTCAGCTATATAACATTATCCAAGGCCCTGTAGAATGGCCCTATGGACTTACTTGAAGAAGTTGGATATACATGGATGTCAGGCAGGCACTGATATTAGTTTAATTATATAAATAGGGGAATATAAAGACCAAATGTATACATTATATATCAAACAAAGCATTCTGATCAGAATTGATCTAGTGAGGAGATCTAAAATGGCAATTATATTTTCTCTGGGTAAGGACGAGAATGAAGAGATAGGACAAACACTGGCCCTGTGAAGTGCTTGGAGGACATGTGATCCCTGGTTGTTTTTATGTCATATTCCTTATCTCAGGCAGATGGCAGACTTCATTCTTAACACTGTGCTTCATACCTCTCTCTTTACCTTCCAGTGACTGTCATGTGGCATGGGTCTCTGCCCAAGCTCGTAACGAGACAGTAGCAAGGCGGCTGTGGGACGTCAGTTGTGACCTGCTGGGTCTCCCAATGGACTAACAGTGGCAGTGGGAGTTGGACCCAAGAGAAGACTGCAGCGGATTACACAATACTTCTTGCCAAAATGATTCTCCTTCAAGGTTTCCAACCTTTAGCACAAAGAGAGCAAAACCTTCCAGACTTTACTGCTTGGTGTCCAGTTAAAACCCAGTGTACTGCCAGATTCATCTAAGTGTCTATCATATCCAGATTTACTTTTCTTCTGTTGCTGCCAGAGTTACTAGAGATGTCATAATATAATAAGAAGACCCTCATATGACCTGCAGAGCTCATATTTTCCTTCTGAAAGCTACTGCTACATAGGAGAATCTAAGCTGTAGCGGGGATGATTTATGCCAATTTGGACTAGCTTTTTTGTTCACAGTTCAGTTCCTCCCAACCAACTAGTCTTCATTTCATGAGGGCCACACTGCAATCTCAGCTAAACTCCATGAATCACAGTAACTTGGCTCAAGAGCAGGACTTGGCCAGGCGTGGTGGATCACTGGAGGTCACTAGTTTGAGACCAGAATGGCCAATGTGGTGAAATCTTGCCTCTACCAAAATACAAAATTAGACAGGCATCGTGGTGCACACCTGTAATCACAGCTACTTTGGAGGCTGAGGCAGGAGAATCACTCAAACCCAGAGGGTGGAGGTTACTGTGAGCTGAGATCCTGTCACTGCACTCCAGCCTGGGCGGCAGAGTGAGACTTTGTCTTAGGAAAAAAAAAAAAAGAGCAGGGTTTGACCCTGACCTCTTTTAACTGTCATACACCAACTTCTGGATTCTCTCAGGAAATTCTTTTTTTTTTTTGAGATGGAGTTTCGCTCTTGTTACCCAGGCTGGAGTGCAATGGCGCGATCTCGGCTCACCGCAGCCTCCTCCTCCTGGTCTCGGGAGATTCTTAACTGAGGCTGGATTATGGCATGGCCTTGTTGCTGACAACCTAAAGCCACCACTGTTAAGATGCTGTCTTATGTCTAAACCACAGAAGAGCTTCCTTTTCTAAGAAGCTTGTGAGGTTTGGGGAATGGCAGGAATGTAGGGGAGGCAGAAATTATAATCAAGTTCAAACCATCATTTTCGTGTTTCTCAGACCAGGAAGTAGGTAACAAGAGGAACACTATGAAAAGATAGGCCACTGGACTCCAGTTAGTGACCCCAGGCCCATGGAAGCCTCCTTTTTTGTGCCTTAGTTTCTCTTAGAAAATGAGAAGAAAGGCTATTTGGTCATTGTCACTGTGTATATTTTTGTGTGTCTTCCTGTGTATTTATGCCAAGGGAGTATTTTCACAAAGTTCAAAATGCACAATAATCAGAGATGAGGCAAACCAGTGCCATTCTTTATGCAAATAAAACTCCGCAAAGGGAAACTGATTCTGTATATGTTGGGAACCACCCAACGTGGGTACCAAGAGTACATGGGTAGCAGGGAAGTCAAAAAAAAGGAGGAGAATGCTGGGAGATAATGCATGAATTGAAGGGTCTAAAGACTAAGAAAATAACAAAAGACAGTACTATACTAACATAGCTATGGAGGAATTGAGGGCCAGCACCCAAGACTGATGAGGTACTATCTGAACAATAACCATTGTGGCAAAAAAAAATCCTATAAACAAACAAACAAACAAAAAACCCTCAGAAAAATTATCTTAGGGACTGATATTGGTAATTATGGTCAATTTAATAATCTTTTGGGGGCATTTCCTTATATTGTCTTGACAATAAAAGGTCTATGTGCCAAAATTCTTTATTTTATTTGGAGAATCTTTATCAAAAGTAACGCTGCCAAAGGAAGTCTGAGGAATTAGTAGTGTTCCCATCACTTGTTTGGAGTGTGCTATTCTAAAAGAGTTTGTGATTTCCTGGCATGACAATTGTATTTTAATTTTGGTGGGAGAAAGAGTTAATAGGACCACAGTCTTCACTTCTGATATTTGTAAATTAATCTTTTATTGAACTTGTTTTGACCATTAAGCTATATGTTTAGAAATGGTTGTTTTATGGAAGAATTCTGATAATAGTACAGAATAAATGAATTAATATTTTACTTAATTTATATTGGACTGTCAATGACAAATAAAAATTTTTTGATGATTTTTTTGTTTTCATTTACCAGAATAACAACTAAGAAATAAAAGCTTAATTATAGTCAAAAGAAGAAAACACTGTTAATTCTTATAGTTATGCAATGATTTCTCATTCTAAAGAATAATTTGTCCCAGAGTCTAAACAGTGCAGTCTCAAGCCACATACTCTTAATTTAGGTTGTATGATAATCTGATTATTCATTCACCATTTCCTACTTACATTTTTTACACTCTTCACAGACCACTTTTTTCACATTTCTTGATCATCTCGGGCAATTTTTCTTTTCATTTTTATTAGAGTCTTGCTTTGTTGCCCAGGCTTGTCTAAGATCCTACCGCCTCAGCCTCCCAAAGTGCTGGGGTACAGGTGTGGGTCGTGGTGCCCAGCCCCAGGCTATTAACCTTTTTTTTTTTTTTGCACCTTCCCCTTATTTCTGTACGGTGACAAGTCCCAGGATTGTGTTGTGGAACTTACACAGTACACTGACAGTAACCTCAGGCTTGGTCATCTCTGTGCTCAGTGCATATTCAGAGCTCAACCAAAGTGTGCTGAATCAGCAGCCAATGAACTTGATCTAATAAAAATGAGAGCCCAGGAGACATAAATTAGCAAAGTATTTTCCCCTGAGCATTCATGTATCTTTCAATATTTGTAGGCAGTTTAATATTGAGCTCCCAAGCAAGCATTTGAGAATAGACACCTTGAGCAAACTGAAATTGGTGAAAATAGAAATTTAATCTTTTTGAGATAGGGTCTTGCTCTATTGCCCAGGCTGGTGTGCAGTGGCCCGATATCAGCTCACTGCAACCTCTGTATCCAGGGTTCAGGCGATTCTCCTGCCTCAGCATCCCGAGTCACTGGGATTACAGGTGCTCACCACCACGCTTGGCTAATTTTTGTATTAGCAGGGACGGGTTTCACCATGTTGGCCAGGCTGGTCTCAAACTCCAGACCTCAAATGATTCGCCCACCTTGGCCTCCCAAAATGCTGGGATTATAGGCGCGAGCCACCACGCCTGACCTTAAGATAGGAATTTATACCCAGAGAGTGCAGGAAACGACCTTGTAATTGTTAACACGTGACACAGTGGCAGATAGGACCTAATGAAGCCAGGTCCACCTTCCACACCAGATTATCAATTCCCCAAGAGCAGAGAATAAATGTTTTATTCACCAACATGCCCAGATCACTCACAGTTCCTACGCTGGACAAACACCTGTTGTGAACGAGTGCACGAGGCAACCTAGTGCATTAGGCATGCCTGACAGCTAGAGTATTTTGTATCTGCCCCTTATTTATGTACTGTGACAAGTCCTAGCATAGTGTTGTGGGACTTACACAGCACACTGACAATAACCTCAGACTTGATCATCTCTGTGTTAGTATTTCATCCTAACCGGGTTTCTGTTTTGAATTTTTGTTTTTTGGTGTTTTTGTTTGTTTGACTGTTTTGGAGACAAGGTCTCCCTCTGTCTCCCAGGCTGGGGTGCAGTGGTGGGATTTCTGCAGTCTCAACCTTCTGGGCTCAAGTGATGCTTCTGCTTCAGCCTCTGGGGTAGCTGGGGCCAAAAGTGCGCGCCACCACGCCCGACTCCTATTTTAGAGCTCTCACTATTGTGCCCAGGCTGGTCTCGAACTCCTGGGTTCAAGCAATCCTTCCACCTCGGCCTTCCAAAGTACTGCGATTACAGGCGCGAGCCACTCGCCTGGCCGGGTTCCACTTCCGAAAGCGTGGGGAGCCGCTGGGCCTCCCAAGAAAAGTGCTTCACTTCCCGATGGCAAGCACAGCCCCCGCCCAGCTATCTTTCCAGGGCTGAAAAGCTAACATTCAGTGGAGACGCGAAATGATGAAGTCGGGTCAGGATGCCAAAGCACAGCGCGATGACAGTGAGGACCGCGTCTGGACACAAACACACCCCAAACCACCACGCTACCGGGCTGGACTCCACTGCCGCGGCGAGAGCTGAAACTCGCGGCCGGGACAACGCGGGACCCCGGGACAACGCGGGACCCCCGGACGGGACGCTCTCCGAGACAAACTACATCCCCCGGCGTGCACTGCAGCGCCCGCCCCCTCGCCCGCCGAGGGGGTCCGGGAAGAAGGCGGCCGAGCTGCCCGTCTCGCAGGTCCCCTACGGCCCTTTCGCAGCAGCGCCTTTACACACCCCGGACCTGGCACTTCTCGGGCTCCGCGACTGCCGTTCGCCCCGGCGCGGCACCGCTGCCTCAGGAGTCGCCGGGGCCGCGCAGTTCCCTGACTTCCTGTCAGGCTTTCACGCTGGCGCTCCCTCAATCACAGGCTGGAGAGGGTGGGCGTTCCGGCTCCGGAGGACCCTGCCGCGGCCCCGGAAGAAACTCGTCCTGGGCGGCTGTGGCGCGGCGGTCGCCGTGATGGCCTCGGGGCTGGGCGGCTGACCGCCGGGCTAGGAGAGGGCCCAGCGCCCAGAAGCTCAGTGGCCGCTGCTCGAGCGCGGCCTGCGCCATGGCCACCTCCGCCGCCTCCTCGGAGCATTTCGAGAAGCTGCACGAGATCTTCCGCGGCCTCCATGAAGACCTGCAAGGGGTGCCCGAGCGGCTTCTGGGGACGGCGGGGACCGGTGAGGCGGGGGTGGGCCACGCCGTGGGGAGCTCGGCCCCGCGCGCTTCGGGAGGAAGATTCCCCCACCTTCCTCCCAGCCCCGGGCCCGCGTCTGCTCGCTCCGCGTCCTCAGACACGCCCCCTACGACTGGCTGGGTCCCAGCCCCAGGTCTCCCTGCTGCCACTGACAGTGAACTGGGGACGTGCCCAGGGACGGACGTCGGGGTTCAGTTCCCTGGGATCCGTCCATGGCCTTCCACATTTTCTCGTCTCTCTTCGTTGCGGCAAACAGAGCAGTGGGGCTTTTATATCTGCGGTCTTGTAGTAGAATGGGTTTCTTTCGTAGCTGTTTTTGTTTGTTTTTGTTTGTTTGTTTTATGCATTTAAAAGTATTGGTTTCAAGACAGGTCTAGTTTTCACTGTCAGAGGATCTGTGGCACAAAAAAAGGGTTAAAAACCCAAAGGAATCATAATTTGGAGGTGTTGGTAAATAACAAGGGGGCATTTAAAACCCAATTGTGGCATTTAGATGTGGTCTTGTTTTGAACGTTTTATACCGCTGAGACTGTTTACTACCCCTTAATTTCCTGAAGCAGGTTGCTACGAGTTCTGTCTGGAGGAGCTAGCGTTTTTCGGCCCTAAATCCATAGGAAGACCTACTGTAGTTCTTGGCCTCCGGACATACAGAACTTGAGGTCAAGGATAAGACTTTGAAGTTTGAAGTTTTATTGCTTTTACTTAAGGGTCAGAGCTTGGTTGTTTGCTCAACGAATTACTCGAGGTCATAGGAATTGAATGACTGTGGTGAGAATGAAATTCATGTGTTTAGTATATATTGTGATGCTGCTTTGTGCCAGGCACTGTTCTAGGTGCTGGTTAGTATTGCAAATTACAGTGAAAAAGACATGCACATCCCTATTCTAGCAGGTAGGTGTTAAACAATATGTAATTATTAAGAGGCAGTGTTAAAGTATACAGGGCGGCCGGGCGCGGTGGCTCAAGCCTGTAATCCCAGCACTTTGGGAGGCCGAGGCGGGTGGATCACGAGGTCAAGAGATCGAGACCATCCTGGTCAACATGGTGAAACCCCGTCTCTACTAAAAATACAAAAAATTAGCTGGGCATGGTGGCACGTGCCTGTAATCCCAGCTACTCAGGAGGCTGAGGCAGGAGAATTGCCTGAATCCAGAAGGCGGAGGTTGCGGTGAGCTGAGATCGCGCCATTGCATTCCAGCCTGGGTAACAAGAGCGAAACCCCGTCTCAAATAAATAAATAAATAAATAAAGTATACAGGGAAATAAATCGGGGTAAAGGAATAGGGGTGGGACTTCAGTTTTATGTTATTATTTATTTATTTTTGAGACAGGGTCTCACTCTGTCATCCAGGCTAGAGTGCAGTGGCACGATAGCTCACTGCAACCTTTGCTTTCCAGATTCAAGTGATTCTCCTGCCTCAACCTTCAGAGTAACTGGGATTACAAGTGTGCCACCACCCCTGGCTAATTTGTGTGTGTGTTTTTTTTTAGTGGAGGCAGGGTGTCACTGTGTTGGCTAGGCTGGTCTCTAACTCCTGACCTCAAGTGATCTGCCTTCTTTGGGACTTCAGTTTTAAATAGGATGGTTGTGAAAGTCCTCTCTGAGGAAGTAGCATTTGAACAGAGACTTGAATGAAGTGAGAGAGTAAACCAGAAATCTGGGAGAAGTGAGTGTCGGAAGGAGAGAATAGCACAGCAGAGGCTCTTAAGCAGAAGTGAGCTTGGTGTGTTCAAGGAAGAGCAAGAGGTTCCATGTGCTTGGGATGGGGTGAGCAAAGGAGGGAGGTAGACAGGACCAGATCATGTAGGGCCTTGTGGACCATGGTGAAAGACTTTCTCTAAATATGATGGATGCAGTTAAAAGGCATTGTGCAGGCCAGGTGTGCTGGCTCATGACTGTAATCTCAGTACTTTGGGAGGCTGAGACGGGTGGATCACTTAAGGTCAGGAGTTTGAGACCAGCCTGGCCAACATGGTGAAACTCCATCTCTACTAAAAATAGAAAAATTAGCCAGACATGATGGTAGGTGCCTGTAATCCCAGCTACTCAGGAGGTTGATGGGGGGAGAATCACTTGAACCCAGGAGGCGGAGGTGGCAGTGAGCCAAGATTGTGTCATTGCACTCCAGCCTGGGCGACAGAGCGAGACCCTGTGTTGGAAAAAAAAAAAAAAAGAAAAAAAAATGTATTGTGCAGAACCATGGTGGGATCTGATTTATGTGATTGAAAAGTGGGCTGCAGGCCGGGCGCAGTGGCTCACACCTGTAATCCCAGCATTTGGGGAAGCCAAGGCAGGCAGATCCCTTGAGGTCAGAAGTTCAGGACCAGCCTGGCCAATGCAGTGAAACCTCATCTGTACTAAAAATATAAAAATTAGCCGTGCATGGTGTCACATGCCTGTAGGCCCAGCTACTCAGGAGGCTGAGGCAAGAGAATCACTTGAACTCAGGAG